CACACTTGTGGTGTTCCCGGTCAAAAATGTCCAGCCATTCAAAGTGAATGGGAAAGAATGAAAGTAATAGAAACTATTAGTGTTCAGGAGCATGTTGATCATGTTCACGTTCACATATGTACGTGTGCTTGGAAACATAAAGGCCTTGAACCTGTTCATGTTTGGATGCATGCATACTCACGCTAACACACACACACACACACACACACACACACACACACACACAAACGGAGGAAAATCTTGAGATTTGCAGCCTGTCGGATTTTCAACCTCACATGACCTGCCTGGACACTAAATCTGAGAACCAAGATTAACTCTCACTGTCCGGTCTTTGTGTCGCTACAGCAAGTCATTTTGGATTAAAATGCTCATCCTGTCATACATGTGCTCTTTATCATGTTAGATAAGTTTTATTATTACCTCTTATTGCTGTTAATGCTGGCATAGGGGCAGAAGGCATCTCTAAAAAACGCTGATCCACTGCAGTTGTAGTACCGTTGTTGACCGCTAGATGACTCTTGAACTCCATCGTAGCGCTGCACACCTCCGACGTAAACAAAATGGATGACCAGTGTTATAAATACCGGGGTGCCTGCTGTGCCATTTAAGTTTCTGCAGTTTTGATGGCTCAGCAGAGAGGAGGCAAAAGGATGATAGATAAATAGATAGAGCAGAGAGAGCAGGGTCATTATGTCTCCAGGTGCAAACATCCCTCACACAAGCCAGTCTTAAAGGGGTCATATGATGCTTTTTTAAAGATCATTATTTTGTGTATTTGGTGTAACAGAATATGTTGACATGCTTTAATGTTCAAAAAACACATTATTTTTCAAATACTGTACATTATTGTAGGTCCTCTATGCCCCGCCTCTCTCAAACGCTTCGTTTTCTACAAAGTCCCTCCTTCCGACAAGTGCAGCTGATCCAGTGCATTGTGATTGGCCGAATCGCGAGCTTCATCTTTCAAAATAAATGTAAAGACAGAGCCCGAAAGGGGAACAGAGTCGCGTGACAGACACAGTGATGAAGCTGGTATGTGTACACAAGCCACGGTTAAGACAGCTGACTCCACTCTGATGTGCCCCTGTCTCTCTCTCTGACCCCTTTAAAGAAGAGAAGCATTTTCCTGGGGTAGAAGTAGGCCTAAAATGTTTCACACAAGTCTTTTTTGTGTGCAATGTGTGTGAATGTGAATAACAAACAAAGAAGAGGGATATATGATTAATTGCTGTCAGACTGTATTTATTTGACTTTTAAAAATATGAGATTTCTGTGGAAGCCCGTTTCCGTCACAGAATAAAAATAGCCTACGCAATTGCAACTTTTTATTTAAATATTCTGACATTTATTCTTGCAATTCTGAGTTTATATCTCAGAATTCGGTTTATATCTCTGAATTCTAAGTGTAAATATCGCAATTGCGAGTTTATCTCGCAATTCTGATAATTTTCTCAAAATTGCGAGTTTCTTGCGATATTTAGAGAAAACAGTCCCAATTATGAGATTAAAAAAAGTAATTTGTGAGATATAAACTCACAATGAAATCTGAGCTATCACAATTGCATTAAAAAAAAATCTTTTTTAATCTTTTATTCTGTGGCAGGGTGGGGGGAAACTGAACTGAACTGCGAGATGTGAACTCAGAATTCTGAGGAAAAAAGTTACGAGGAAGAGCAGAGTTCTAAGTTTACATCTCGCAATTCTGACTTTTCCCTCAGAATTTATGAGTTTATATTGTGCAATTCTGATTTTATTCTTAGAATTGTGAGAAAGAAAGACCAAATTGTGAGATTTAAACTCAGAATTGTGAAAAACAAATCTGAATTGTGAGGAAAAAGTCTAAATTGAGAGATAAAAAAATCTGTTAATATTTGTATTATTTTATTCCATGGCAGAAACAGGCTTCCAGTGCAAGGCAGGGAGTGGGGCCCCCCTCGGTCCATTCGCTATCGTGAACGAACCCCCTCGGTTCATTGAATCGGATTGTGAACAAACTCCCTCGGGCCACACCAGTTGCGCTGCATGCCCTAAGGACGGCCCTGCCTGGAAATAAACATAAAGATTAAGAAAAGTAACATTTTTAGAATGTATATACAGTGTCATTAATATGTTAATGTTATATATTAATATAACATTAAAATATGCAGTGTATACTGGACAGCATGACAAACAGTTTTGGAGATTGTGGTCCTTCCCCATTCAAGCAGAAGCTGTGCTTGCATGACTAGAAAATAGCTGCCAGGGGGTTTCGCCAAGATGGCTGCCAAGAGAACAAACTTGCTCCAATAAGGATTTCAGTTAAGAGGAGGAAAGATGGGGAGCGAGAGGGGAGAACGAGATCTGGAAATGCCACAAGCTGGATTCAAATTCAGAACGCCTTAATGAGCCCCACTGCTCAACGCGTCAGAGCATGTGCACTAACGACTAGGCCACAGCTCCAAAAAAATCCATGCAATCTTTTAACAAGCTAATAAATATTTTTCATTTAGTGGTATAAGTCATGTAACCCAACACCAGGGTTATTGTTTGACTGGATATACAGGTTGCATGTGTATCAGGTCAGGCCTGCAGATGTGGCAGCATATATCCCATTAGAGGATACAGTGCACCACTTTTGTTGTCCCCCTTCATATTTTCTTCTTTTTCTCTCTCCATTTTGAGGGACAAAGACATTTTCAGTCACATATTTCCTTGCCTGAGCATTGGGCCCACAGGCAGAGAAGATTCTCTGTGGCGGGCATAAGGTGATTACACAACGCTGGCACATCAACCACAGAGGAGCACCATGCTGACTCCTGGATACACACTTGGCCAAACTAATGTCTCTTTCTCAATTCAGCCTTCTGTTCCATTTTCCCGCTCCTTGATCTTAAATAGGTATCCCTGCAATTTCAAGCAGTTTTGAGAATGGATGGATATTTTTTAATTTATTATATACCCTACTGTTCAAAAGTTTATGGTCAGTGATATGTATCATGGTTTTCAAAAATATTAAGCAGCACAACTGTTTTCAGCATCGATTATAATCAGAAATGTTTCTTGAGCAGCAAATGAGCATATTAGAATGATTTCTGAATGATCATGTGACACTGAAGACTGGAGAAATGATGCTGAAAATTCAGCTTTGCATGACAGGAATAAATTACATTTTAATATTCAAATAGAAAACAGTTCTTTGAATTTTTTTTCGGAAATATAAAAAAACCCCAACTTTTTTAATGGTAATATCTACTAAGAAATAAATATTAGTCATTCAATTTTCACTTAGATATATCTAAAGCTAAATTGAATTTTAGATTATGATGAAATGATGCCTTGGAAGGTAGAAAACCTTCATACAAAATCGCTGCATGTCAAGTCACTATCTTTCTGGGCAACTAGGCAGCCTTTGGTTTCAGATACAGCCTTGGAAAGCATTGCAGCTGAGAGAGAACGTTGCAGGGAATTGTGGGATAAGCAGAGAGCGAGAGCTGCAGTGCAGCCATCATAATCTGTTTACAGTGTCTGTCTGTACAGATGCCAACTTCTCTTCTCCTCTCCACAATTTGTACTCTAAGCTGGAGCACTACACAGTGCAGTCGTAGCAAATGGAGGCTGTCATAACATCAGCATCCATCACTGTCAGACAGGCACCTGTCAGCTACAATACAGGAATGTTCCATAGTGCCATATAGCTTCAGACAAACACCCAGTCCCGGGGCACTGCAAACCCAGCACACATAAACCAACAGTCTGCCTAACCACCTGAAGAGAGGTGGTGCACGGTGCTTGTGCTTTATTGTTGTGGTATTTTATTTAACATACATGTAAATACTGTCATGAACCAGTTATATGCTTGTTCACAACTAAAGAACCAAACAATTTATTTGAAGTATGTATTTTATTATATTTTATTATTATATTATGCATATAGTGGTATTTGCCCGTGCAAACCTTGTTACCATGATGCCAGGGTGTCACTAGTTGTTAGTGTTCACAATGGGTTTTAGTGTGTTGCTATGCAGTTGCTAGCGTAGTAGCTCATACATTCACTCAGATCATATAATAAGCCACAGAATGTATCTGATGAGAAAAAGAAAACAGTCAAATTATTAAAATAATAATAATAATAAAATAAATATCTTCAAATAAATAAATTTATTTAAACACACACACACACACACACACACAGACTTAAAGCCCAGTGCAGTTGCTAGTTATTGTTAATAAAAATAATAATTATTATTTATAATAATTGTTAATTCATTATTATTATTATTATTAGTTTTGTTATTTATTTAAACTTTATAGATTTATTTCTGAAATAACACCACATGCCACAACATCACCACCTGAACTATTTGTTTTTACAGTATTTTATATTTAAAATAACACTGAATGGTTTTGAATCAGCTTTGCCTTCACAGGAATAAATTACTTTTTTAATATATATATTAAAACAGAAACCGATTTATCTATCTATCTATCTATCTTGCTATCTATCTATCTATCTATCTATATACATACATACATACATACAGTTATTTCCTGCTAGAAATGCCATAACTGCAGGTAAAAAAGAATGAGTGAGTGATGAGAGTCTGCAGGTAAGATGACACCGCTTGTACAGCTCTTGTGTAACTCCAGACACAGTGTCTCCACCTGAGCACACCGGACTCATCAGACCTGCTGTCCTCTGGCTGCAGTCCACAGGGAGCTGCTGTCACTGTCTAGCCGACAGGCCTGATGAGACAAATGGTTATGTAAATTGTAATATGAGCTATTTAAAGCTATGAAGGTGTAGAAAAGTTGCCAAATTTAATTTCACTGCAGTAAAGGGGAGGTCTAATGCGATTTCATGCATTCTGACTTATTTACACTGTTAAAGAGTTGGATTCTCATGCTAAACATGGCCAAAGTTTCAAAAAACAAGTTGGACGTATGACAGAGTATTTCTGTGCCAAATACACTCCTTCAGGGTTCATACAAGTTAAGAAAGTTTTTTCGATTATGGCTCTATGACGTCATAAAGGACAGAATTCCTTGTATGGGCACTTCTCCCGGAAGAGCATGCGCACACATCAACCAAAGCGAGAGCAAGAGCAGCCCATCAACAGCCCTTCAAAATCTGTGAAGCTTCGAAGTCAAGAGTGTTAGCAGGTTAAAACTGTCCAGAACAACCACTGACATTCAACAAATGTAAATCCAATTGATTCAATCAGCATTAGAGATCATTAAATATCCATATAGAGCCCCAGAAACCCTTCTGAATAACCAATCTACATTATAATAGACAGCAGTGACCTTTCCATCTGACCCCAATCAATATACCTTACTGCAAATCTGTAAGTCTCTTCCTTTATAATTACACCAAAATGAAATTTTTATCAAATCGGATCCATTCTGTGGCCTTCCTCTCCCAATGGCAAAACAAGAAGAAATGTAAAATTCTACGCTTATATAGTGCTTGCATATTAAATATTCTGTAAGTATGCCAGAGCAGTATGCTT